CGGAACTCTGTTTTTTTAAAGTTAAGAAACCAACAGAGAAGCAGAACCAGCTGGTGCGTGTTACCTTGTGGGTCATCTTCACTTCCCTCCCGGGTAGGACCTTTCAGTGGAGGTGTTTTCACCCAAGAAACGGCGGGTTTGAGAAGGTGGAGGGTAGGCGCTCCTTCGGCAGAGGTCACGATGGGCGCTTTCGTTTCTGGGATCAGTGGTCTGTGCGCACCCAGGACGCTCGTTGGGTGTGATGAGATGACTGACTCTCCTTCGGTGTTTCTCGCTGTCACGAGTGAATCCTCGTGGACTCCTCTGTGACAATTAGACTCTAATCTGGTGGGATTTCCTCCTATTTTGGTTAGCAGCACCTTTAAATGACTGGGTGCCATGGTTACCGTTCTTGAGAGATTAGCATTGGTTTATATTATAAATTCCAAATTTATAATATAAATTTGAGTATTTTGGGGAAAATGTCTTTATTTTTTTATGTATGCACATGGATAGACGACATTCTGACCCTATTTTCAAAAGTTCATAGAACTGTGTTTTTCCACTGATTCGGTCACTTCTCAGCTGTGATTTTAGCACATTCACTGCTTATAGGAAAGTTTGTTCAGAACATAGTTAATATTATTGAGCGTCTTTCTGCTTTCTGAAAGTTCTCATTCGTAATAAAAATAAATGAACAACTCACATGTTAATACTTTTGCAGGCTGTGTCCATCAGCACCAGTGAGTGAAACACAATTTAAAGAATGAATTTTCCACTTTAGCTCTTTCAGGTGAATCACGAATCTGAGGGGCACCAACAATAATAATAAAATTAAATGTTAAGTACTGTTCTCTGGGAATGAGTGGATTTTAAATGTTGAATTGACTTCTATATTTTTAAAGTCTGTTTTATAAGAAGTCTCAAGTTAATATGAGAATAAATATTGCCAAATTGAGATGTTTTGAGTTTCATAAGAATCCAAGCCGTCAGCCTCTGGGGCCATGGACCATGTCTCCGTTAAGACTTGAATATTGAGGACATTTGCTGGGCAATTTCCCTGAAGGTGTTTGACCTTGTGGAGAGTTTCCCTGTGAAGTCAGTTCCAGGAGGACCCGAGACTGTGACTTCAGGTGCAGAAAAGGGGAGGAATCAGGTGTGAGGAAAAGATCGGGGGAGATTATAACTGTTGAAAGTGTAGGTTCACTCAGAATCGGAAGATTTGGGGATTTTGGTTTTTCCCGTATAAGTTAACCTGAAATGCCTGAAGCTGCTGGATTGTTTGGTAAATGTCTGGAGGTTTCTTCAGACTCGGGGGTCATGGCTTGTGCATGTTCGTGGCCCACAGGGCCCTTGTGAACTTGAATGTAATTTGGTTTTACCTTAGTGGTTTTTTAGAAGACTCTTCAAAAGATCTAATTAAAAAGATCAGCTTCAGAACAGGTTGAGTACCAGTTTGGGAAGATGGAAAAGTTCTCTCCGCGGGTGGTGGGGGTGCCTCGCAACCAGGTGAACATGCTTAACACTACTGAGCTGCGCACTTAGAGACGGTCAAGGTGGTGACTTTTATGTTGTGTGTATTTTACTGCAATTAAATCAACTTCGGGGCGAATCGTGGCTTTTGCTTGAGTTTTACTTTTTTTGAAGTGCTGTGCACTAACTTACATCTTGTAGCTGAATATCTGGAGAAGACCCGATTCCAGCTGGTTTTCATTGTCGTAGAATGAAAACACCTGGCAGACCCAGCAACCGGGGTGATGAGAACATCGGACGGTGCGTTTGAGGTTAGACAGGGCTCCTTTCCAGGATAAACACATCCCCACTGCCTCTTGGCACTTTGTGATAATTTTGGTGAATGACTTAGAGCTGCGGTGAATTCCATTGACGATGTTGTGAACTGCCTGACTTATGTTCTCGCAGGAAAGCTGAGGGTTGAGCAGGTCAAGTGTCTGTTGTGAAGGAGGAACACAGGCCAGCAATGGTCCACGCAAACACAAACATACGTGCACACACACACACGCTCTCAGCTGTTCTAATGCTCGGCTTTGCCCCAAGCTCCCTTCCTGTTCCTGTTTGACTGGAAGCGGGACCCTGCAGGTGCCTTTGGCTGTCCCCTCCCTGGAGCTGCTGAGGAGCTGCAGGTGGGTGAGTGGGGACCAGCTCCAGGGGCCATGCCCATGCAGGAGGACTTGCGAGGACTTTGGGACGGCTGCTGAGACGATGTCCTTGGTCCTCTGCTTCTCACCTGCCCTAGGTGACCTGCTTCT